GGGGGGGGGGCTTTGAACCAGGCTCCACTTTTTGTTACCACACTCTTCATTTTATAGTAAGAATATTCTACTCCATGTGTGGGTGTAATACAGGCTCTTCACCTTGTTCCCAAGGAGTCTTAAGTCGATCCCCCAGCAAGAAAGATTCATCTCGAGTGTCTCTGTCTTTCAACTATCTATTGGGATGTATCGTTCACATCCAGGGCAAAATGAAAGCAGCCTGCTTTCTGGATGACAACGTGAGGGTTATTGTATATCTCTCTCTCTCATCTCTGTCTCTCTCATCTCTCTCTGTCTCTCTCTCTGTCTCTCTCTCTGTCTCTCTCTCTGTCTCTGTCTCTCTCTCTCTCTCTCTCTCTCTCTCTCTCTCTCTCTCTCTCTCTCTCTCCCTGTCAAGTGCTGGGTCTTGAAAATTCAATAGTGATCAAGGCTCTCCATTTAGTCCTTTTTTCGGCATTCCTCAGAAATGCTGTAGCATTCGGCATTCATCACAAAATCATAAAATGTATATAATATTATTATTATTATTATTATTATCATTAGTATTAGTATTACAGTACTATTATTATTAGTTTTATATTATTATTATTATTATTATTATTATTATTATTATTATTATTACAACTGTATTATTATTATTATTTTAATTATTATGGTTATTATTATGATTATTATTAATATTGGTACATTATTGGTATTCTTCTTCTTCTTCTTCTTGTTATTATTATTATTGATATTTTCATAATCATTCTTCTTCTATTTTATTATCATAATTATCATTATTATCATTATTATTATTATTATTAGTAGTAGTAGTAGTAGAAGTAGCAGTAGTAGTAGTAGTAGTAGTAGTAGTAGTAGTAGTAGTAGTAGCAGTAGTAGTAGTAGTAGTAGTAGTAGTAGTAGTAGTAGTAGTAGTAGTAGTAGTAGTAGTAGTAGTAGTGTTAGCCTTATTATTATTTCATACTTTCCGTTTGCATCATCGTTGGATCTATGTCTACGCAGAGGAAGTCCTGTGTTGTGCTCGAACAAACAGAGTGCGTTTTTCAGGGTCTTGGCTCCACTTTCGTCCGCACTATAGATGGTCTGAGGCAGGAAAGTAGCGTGGTCGGGGCAGTCCACACCAGGCATCAGACCGTAAGCCTGAACATTAATAATTATGTAATGTGATAAGAAATTGATAAGAGTAGGCTTTGGTCGCCACCCGGGCAAAATTCAACATTTTTTACCAACGGAAAATCTATGTATCCCGCGCGCTCATATGACCTTATGCAGTTGCAAGCGCCGTAAAACATACAAAAAGATTTGATGAGACATGATACAAAGTAAAATAATAACAAATGTTGCAAAAGAGAAGAAGTTGAGATAAGGCAACATTGTGTCAGGTAATCCAGACATTCATTGCTCTATTGATACTCCATTTGAAGAAATAAACCTTTTAAAAATTTCAACAAATCCGACATGTTCTTGTTATTTTGCGAGTTTCTTACTGTGTAGTCCATATATTAATAAAAGATACAGTGTTTGTCGTGCAATTTATTAAATGTACGGATTTAGACGGAATTAAAAGTAATAACGCAGATTAGACAGTTGACCCCAATAGATCATCCAATTTGACAAAGTACGGGAAGAAAAAAAAATGCGACTAGTTTATTGATTTTAAGGTAAAGCTGTGTACCTACGCGTTTGTTTTCTCAAATTCATGACGCCAAAGAAGAAAGAAAACAAAGGCCAACGTTGATGAAAAGCAAGTGATTGCTGCCTTAAATTAAAGGTAAACAAACAACAGCATTAGTTATGTCACGGAAAATACAAACTTTCTACCCCTGCTCATACCCTCCCCCCCCCCCCCCCGCCCCCAATCACTTCATGCCCGATCCATTCTTAAACCCTTAACAAGCATTTTCGCTTTGTATTATTGTTTATTATGTGCACATGTGTGTGTGTGTGTGTGTGTGTGTGCAGGAGAGGATGTGTGTGTGTGTGTGCAGGAGAGGATGTGTGTGTGTGTGTGAGAGAGATTGTGTGTGTATGGGTGTGCGCACGAGTGTGTAAATGTGCGCGCGTGTGAATGTGTTTGTGTGTGTGTGTGTGTGTGTGTGTGTGTGTGTGTGTGTGTGTGTGTGTGTGTGTGTGTGTGTGTGGGTGTGTGTGTATATATACATATGAATGTGTCTGTTTGTGTGTGTATGTATGTGTATGTGTGTGTTTGTGTATGAGTGTGTGTGTGTGTGTGTGTGTGTGTGTGTGTGTGTGTCTGTGTGTGTCTGTGTGTGTGCTCGTGTGCACGCACGCTTGCGCACGTGTGTGTGTGTGTGGGGGGGGGGGGGGGGGGGTAAAATGTGAAATACCAAACTAGTGTGCCTGGATCTGGACAGTAAAGATTTATCTTATCTCATCT